ATATGAAGGCTACAGGGACAGTGTGTCTTTTCCTGCTTGCTTGCTACATAACTTCTGAGTGGCACTCTGACATTGTAGAATAGCACAATTGCACAAGTGGCAAAGAGTTTTTCTTTTGCTTTTATGAATAATATTTCATTTTCTTGCCTTGAGAAATATCTCCATAAACCTTGTTTAAGAACAGAAGTAGAGGGTCCTGATACTGCCTAAAGAACATAGAAACAGCCATGAGTAGGAATAGCAACCATACAACAAATGCTTAGCTGTTAATCTGCTGTACCTGCATTTAGTTTATTACAGAATTGAGATCCGAGCTTTACCCAAAGAGCTTTCTTTTGCTGTTTTTTCTGCCACCCAACCTATAGGACAGCATCAACTATAGCAGAACAAGTAGAAAAATATGTTTGGTTTAATTTACAGAAATAATATTCCACTTTTTCTACTGTTAAAAAAACCAGGAAAGTTTAAAAAATGAAAGTGGGACTGGAGGATTACAACATCATCTAGAAACTCATAAACAAAAAGTAAATTTTGAGGTGGGATTGGCAGGAAGGAAAGGCAGCGAGGAGGTGTTTTCACTGTGCCATTCTGGGAAGTAGTTAGATGCACAAGGGGCAGCAAGTGTGAAAGGGCAGAATCATTGCACTGAGCAGGAGGCTGGAATGGATGAGCCAGGTAGATCCCAGGTGGGGCTGTGCTTGGGATCCCATTTTGCAGTAATTGATTGGTACAGTGCAGTTATTTTTTGAGTAACAGGTGATCCTGCCCTTGGAGGAAAGTGCTTGTATTGTTTGGCATCTTTTGGTGCTTTTACGTCCTGTCTTTCCTAGTCCTTGTGCAGTTCTTGTATTACCTTCATGAGCAGTCTGGACCAATATGTTAAGTGGAAGGTATGCTAGATCTGAGAGAAATCCATTTCATTTCCTGTGGAAACTCAGCTTCTGCTTTCTGGTTGAATTTCATCCCTTTATAAGGATGAGCACTTGTTTTGTCAGGAAGGGTGGGGATCAGGGAAAAATCTCATTTATAAGAGCTCATCTCTAGACTCATGGTAGGCACTGTTTCAGGAATGCCTAATTCAAAGTCGGTGAGTGTTGACTTTCCTAATATTATGGCAGAGTGATTTGCAAAGTCACTGACCTTAGTGGTGTGCAAAAGGCACTGGGGACATGGACAACTGTTTTTCTGTGATGCTTTAAGCCTTGAAGAATTCTTTATAATTAACTGCTGCATTGATGAGACAGTTTGCCAGTGCTGTGAAATATTGCAGACTTGGTCCCTGGTGGCCCCAACAGGTGAACACCAGGTCATAAGTTAACAGTGTGTGAAACTGACAGATAAAGGAGGATGTGGCACTGAGCTAAGTGTGAAGTAAATGGATATCATGCTGCAGCAATTACCACATTCTCAGTTTTTAAAAATTGGTGCTTTAAAGGTGTATCCAGGAAGGTGCACCACCATCTGTTACACTTGTAGAAGGGGCAGATCAGTCTGCATCACATTCCATTATCATCTTCTGCTCTCTGCTTGCTGCTGCTAAACTGATTTATTGTGTGCTCACGATTCTTCACTTATGTTAGATTGCAGGGGCTTTACACAATGCAATCCTCCTCCAAGCCTTGCCTGCCCTTTGCAGTTATTTTCATGCTGCTTGCTAGAAGGAGGATAATCAGCTATTTTTTAGCTATCACACCAAAGCAAGCCTGTATATTTCAGCCACGACACTATACCACAGAATTGCTGGATTGTGGTACACCATGTGGTTGTATAACAGAACACATAGGAAGGCAGGGAAAGAAAAGCTGCAGGAAAAAAAACCATGTGTAAAGGGCACACTCCAACTCCGGCAAAGAAAATGAAAGAAGACGCCTCAGTGAAGCAGCAAGTTACGCATCTCCCATAGAGAAGCCTTTATTCTCCACAAAGGGTCCTTTCCTTGTTAAAGAGCTACAGAAACCCTCATTTGGTATTTACCTCATTTGGTGTTACATTTTTGTAGAATTGAGAACAAATATGGCAATTGTACATGTTTGACTGTTTTATATTATTCTAATGATATTTGCAAGCCAGCTTCAGTTCCGAATTTGTGGGAAGGCTGATATAAATTCCTAAACACATAGGCCTTGATATAATGTTATGCTGTTATGCATGAAAGCTTTCTATTCCTTTGGTTTGAAATGAAAATTAGAGCCTATCTTGAAATATAAGGCAGTGGGAGAGAAAGAAACACTAACTTATTTTAATCTCTCTTGCCATATATGCAGATTGGAAAGTACTAATAACTATAATCAACCATCATACCTTTATATGATTTTGAGCTTGTCACAGGTCATCATCCCAAAATGTCTGTTCAGTTTTCAACACAACAGTTAAAGACATCTGATTGTTAGCAGACCAACAGCAAAGTGTTCCCATAAGTGCCAATGCATAATAGTTTTGTAAGGAGTATATTTATAAGTATATGTCAAGGTGCAATTCAATAAGTTGAATATAGTTCTGAGACTCTACTTAAAATAAATGAAACTTTCTAAACAGAGGCACTTGCCTTCAGGACACTGGCAGATACTATGTGATCTTCAGAGTCTATCCAGAGTGAGGAAGAGTGACCCTATATTGTCCTAGAACATTTCAAATGCAAGCCCTTTGTTTCTAAGCAGTAACATATCATAATATAGGATTTGCCAGATTCTGTGTGGCTGAGATATTTTGGCATGTACTAGAGTCAGATAAACTTGGTCCATAGTTTTGTTAAAGAGAGAGAAAGAGAGAGTTGGTCCAGGTACCCATGATTCATAGAATGAGATGGTCTTAACTCTCACAAATGGGGAAAAGAAGGTGTGTTTTTTCACCCCATGGATCTCCTGTAACCCTTTGCATCCTGCAGACATACATTTTAGTGGATCAGCCCCCCCCCCCCCCCCCCCCCCCCCCCCCCCCCCCCCGCCCCGGAATACTGTGAGAGGTGCCATCAGGTTGCAGGCAGAAATAACCTACCCTGTTCCATTTACGGATGGCTTTGCAGAATCCAGCCCATGACATTGGTGCTACAGTTCTGCGATCATTTCCTGCAAATCTTGAAGTGCAGGAGTAAGGACCAAAGTAGGCATGTGAGGGCTGGAGTTCCATTAATCATGGTTTTATCATGGTTGCCACAGTCCTGTAGAGACATAGAGTTAGCGGTGTGAATCCAAAAGCAGAAGTGACCTGTAGGCAGGAAGAGAGGAATCTGTGCATTTTCCTGTACCTCACATTGCTACAACCCTGTACCCAAGCACTTTTGGGTCAGCTGGAGTAACTCCTAGTATTAATACTTAGGCAGCCACTTCCTCATTGCCAAAAAGGAAGAACTGCTCTCCAGAGAGGAGGGTAAGAGGGCAGAGACTTGCCAGTTGATAAGAATTGCTCTGATTAAATAGAAACAGGCAATGTCTCCTTGTAGAGGGGAAGACTGCAGCCAGGTAACCCATGCATCTGTGACTCATCTGCTATCCATGAGACCCCAGCTCCCCCTCTTTAGGGAGGTTTGTTTTAAAACTGGACTTGGACTTGACAGGCCTTCACACTGCAGACTCCTCCAAATACAGGACTGTCTTCTTTGTACACTAGAACATGTGGTTACCCTACACCAAACAGCCCCTTCAGGGACCATCTATGGAAGGAGAGTCTGCAGGGGGCTAAACCGCAGAGGGCTGGGTGGGTTTCTCACTCCTTAGCTGGATACCCCTTTTGCTCTCAAAATGGCACCCCTCCCTTTGTATGATATGTAGAGCTGTTCTGTGTTTATCAGCATGTAAAGTTTGGAGTTAGATTTGGGAGTTAATACGGTAGCTGCTAGGCAAGATCCAGTGGTCCAACTTGGAAAGAAAAAATCCTGGAAGCGGCTGGCAAAGGAAATTCCTCTATGTGGTACCTAGGGTGACCTCACAATTCTCTGGACATCCGAGAAATAAGACAAGGGGACTCCCAGAGAATTCAGGCCCAGGCCCAGCTATGGAGCAGCAGCTGCTATTTAGGTCAGCTGCTTTGGATATGAGAAACATGGAGGCTTGGAAAAACATATCTTCCAGGGAATTGCATAGCAAAAAGCAGCAGTGATGCATCCTGCATATCACTTCTTTTGCTGAACCTAGCAGCTCCTTCTAAACCTACCAAACCTTTTAAATTATCTGAACTCTGACTAAAAACCTTTAGGTAAGGTAAGGAAGGGAGGATTTCCTAATATTATGGATATTATTTCCATAGTATCTCCCAAAGCTATTTGAGGAGTGTCTGTGGGGTTCACAGTGGAAATGTGAACAGAAATGACCTGGTGCTCCTGCCCACCATTCCAGTTTTTGTAGGTGTTGGCTTTATTATTATTAATTAATTCTTATTCAGATTTGGATTAACCTACCAGTTGTAGGCCATCTAGATGTTTTGGCCTACAACATTCATCCACCCTAGGCAACATAGCCCGTGGCAAGGCATCATGGGATTTGTAGGCCAAAACATCTAGTGGGCCATCAACTGCTTACTCTTAATATATACTATCAACTGATATTTGCTATAATAGGGTCTGCTGTAGTGTAATTTTATATAAATGACTCTGAGTAGATTATGCATTTTTTTAGCTCCTTGACAAACTTCCGTAAAGCTTCTGAGAGCTCAGATGGTAGTAGCCCTTACCATCAGGAAAAACACATGGTGTGGGGAAAACTTCATATCTGGTAACCAAACCAGCATGAAAATATCCAAGAAGACTATCACACCACAGACAGAGATAGTGACAGAACAGCAAGATGTGTGATTGGGTGCCTTTATGAAAAGTTAAACATGTAGCGCATTATTGTCATGCTTGCTGTTGTTGAAGATAATCTTCCTCAAGCAGAAAGCAATAGCAGTCATACTTATATTATCTCAGGCCAGTGTAAGAATATGGACTTTTGAACCTGGTATTGTTCTTATTCTGGTTCCTAGAGAGTAATCATTTCTGTCTTTCTCCCCTTCCCCTTCCACTGCAGCTGGTGTCCAACATCCTCATCTTCACCTGCACGAACATTGTTGGGGTGTGCACACACTACCCAGCAGAGGTGTCCCAAAGACAGGCATTCCAGGAGACCAGGGAATGCATTCAGGCTCGCCTGCATTCTCAGAGGGAAAACCAGCAGCAGGTAAATGATGGTTCTGGTGGAGACGCCGCCGAGGATGCGATCGCCATTTGTGTTTGCATGACCATTCCTTGGACACACTGTTCCAAGCTTTTCCATGTGGCCAGATGGGATTTTATTTATTTTATTTTATTTAAAATTTTTGTACACTGTCCCAACACTGATGTCTCAAGACAGTTTCCGAGAACACCAATAAAATAGGATAAAGAGATAAAAGAAGCACAGCATCCAATAATAAATATGAAACCACAAATTAAGACAATTAACAGTTAAAATAGTGGAAAAATAAAAGGGATTTCACCTGGCGCCGAAAGGAAAAAAGTGTTGGTGCCAGGTGAACCTCTCTGGGGAGCATGTTCCACAGTCGGGGCGCCACCACAGAGGAGGCCCTCCTCCAGGTAACCACCCTCCTAATCTTTTTCAAGGAGGGCTCCTGAAGAAGGACCTCTGCCTCCAATCTCTAGGGGCAGGAGGGCACAGAGGGAAGAAGGGATGCAGAATGCTCCAGTAACTGACTGATGCAGTAATTTGATAGCATTCCGCCTTTAATGCCCTTTGTGGTGAATCCCTCAGGATTAAAGAAGCAAAACATTCCCAGGACTGTGATGATGCCCTTCCAGGCCCAAGGCTGAGCATTGCCCAAACAACACCCAAACTTGAACTGGAAGCTTCAGAATTTCTACCAGATTATGATAAATGGTTAGGCTGCCTGGGTAAGTGGCCACCATCTCATCTGGAAAACATCCTAGCCCAGAAGACTGGGAGTTCTGAGCAGCTTCCCAAAGGGAGCTTCCTAGCTCCACCACTGGTGGGCCAGCATAGAGCACCACTTTGCACAGAGGCAGATTTGTGCGTCGATTTATTAACTTTAATCAGCAAAATCCCTCTGTGAGTGCAGCTCACAGTACAGCGTCCCTGAGCTATTTAGCAGATTTTAAGAAGCATCTAGGAATTCCCATGAAACAACCGTCTCCCTGTGTAGAAAGAAATTAATTCAGACACAGATCTGACATAAGCAACTGGCAAAGCTCCATGGAGTGGGCCAGTCAGATTACTGTGTCAGGCAGCATCTGGCGGCACTCACATGCTGCGTATCATGTCTCTTGCATCCAACTCCCTGCCCATGTCTGGCATAAGGACAGAACTGGAATCGGCTTATGGAAACTTGCCTGTATATAAATATCTTTGCTGAGACCGGGACCACTGCAGCCCACATGTCTCGCTGATTGAAACTCCTGGCTCTAATAGGCACAGTAAATATTTTAGTGCTCTTCAATGTCTGGAACAAAATGAAATATTATGCCACCTTTAAATTTTGGGTTCTTTCTGGCCTCACACAGATACTGGGAAAGGCCATTGGTAGGGCTTAACTTCTGAGCCATGCATGCAGCTGTGTGCTTATTGCCAGGTAGGCTTCCTAGACATCATGCACACAGATAATTATAGTGCATGATGGGGCCACAGGTTACTTTCATGCTTCTGTTAATGTGCAAAGAGAGAAGGCACATAGGCTTCCAGCAATGAGATGGTATGTATGCATCATACTGGTGGGAGAGGAGGAAGGCTCAGCTTTCCATGTTCACATTTTATTTCAAGAATAAAGCAAGCAAGCACAATTCCTCTGTTGTTGGCTGTCTATTCTGAATGCCCTGAGTCTTCGCTTAATGTGTGCATGGCATCAGGCTTGTTGGGAGTTGGGCTTGCAGCCATATAACAAATGGATGAAGGTATATTGAATGGACCTCAAGTCTGGTGGCTCTGGTGGTGACATCATGGAGTAGCAAGGAACAATGTGCAGTCAGCATGCATTTGGTGTTTCTCCTACCCTGGCAGTACAGCAGCCTTGGGAAGCTGCTGCCATTTGGAGAGGTCCACTGCTATGAAGGGCAGATCACTGGAACTAGAAAAAAGTTTGTTCCATTATGATGTCACCTGCTGTCGCTGAATGATTGAGCGGAATGAGATCCTGGATGCCCTGATAGGGGTTGGCTTTGTGGGAAATGTTCTTGGTGTTGCCCATCCAGTCCAGGGCCAGTGGCTTCCTTTTGCTGACCTGGGATGCAAAGCACTATGTGTTTGCATTGTGAAATAGAGCAGCTGTGTTAATGGGCTCATCTGTCTTATTCCACAGGAGCGCCTCCTGCTCTCTGTACTTCCTCGCCATGTTGCCATGGAGATGAAAGCTGACATTAATGCCAAAAAAGAAGATATGATGTTTCATAAAATTTACATCCAGAAGCATGACAATGTCAGGTAAGGGAAAAGGGACACAGGCAGGATGCAGTATCGTTCTATATGTAGCAGTTTTAAAAATAAACTGAAAACAAGACAAAGCAAATGAATGTCCCAGAATCAGTTTCCGGTTGCCTTATACTTTTATCATAACTCAAAATGGGGAGTAAGTAGACCTGTTTCAGGGATTCTTTCTTTTCTTCAAGGGTAAAGAGGGTACTGTGGAACCAGAGTGGCAGCAAACATCAATTTCTGCCCATTTCTGCAAAGGTTGGGAGAGGGGGTGGGCAGAGAGAAAAGCTAGCCTGGTTACTGGGCAAAGGCTCTGTCAGGGGAACATATGGCTGTTGCTGGGTTCCAAGTCCCATCAGCCCCCTCTATTGGCTGTGCTGGCCAGGGCTGCCGGAAGATGCCACCTGATAGCATCTGGATGACTTTACACTCCATGCTTCTGAGACAGGGAATAGAGAGTGCATGTTTTATTCAACCAGGCTTGAGTCTGAATTGCATCCTGTTAGGGAACCAGTAAAGCACTTTGAGGTTGTTTTTTGACGTGCAGTACTCAGAAAAGAGTCTCAATAGAAAAGGTACCAAGGAGATAGCATGCTTTCCTATTCCTGCTATTTTAAAATTCCTTCAGTCCATGCATCATATGCTACTTCATAATATTCCGTGTGGGATATTATGTACTTGTACAGCAGTGATTGCATGCATTGTTGGGCTACACAAAGCACCCAAAAGCCGGGGGCTTTCTTTCAAAATGGCTGGGTCCCCAGTGATGCAAATCAGTAAACAAGTGCACAAACTATTTCAGCAGAAGTGCTTGGATTCACTAACTTAGTCTCATTGGATTAACTGAAAATCAGCTGAAATCAAAGCATTACAGTGAAACTGATCTTCACATTGCAGCCTATGCTTTTTAATTAGAAGTAACCTGGCTTACTTGGCCTCCTTGACTCTGGACTTATATCTATTTGGCCCTTTTAAGTGGTATTTTAAACAAGGCTTTCAAGATCAGAGTCCTCAGATAGCAGCCTCACTGGATTTAATCCCCATTTATGAATGCCATGTAAACAAACAACTACTTTTAAGAGGAGGCCAATTTGCAGAGATGAAGAGAGAGCAATTAAAGAGGGGAGCATGGTTGCAGTATACACAAGACATTAGAAAGAAGATAGCTGAGAGAGGTGGCCTTAATCAGTGTATGTCTTAATATTAGCAGATGAGATCATTTGTTATATTTAGATAATTGTGTCAACAACAATATTTGTGAGGATTATAGAATGCTTGTGCCTGAAGTATTCACTGACTCCTCCAAAGGGTAGAAATTACAAATGAAGCAGGTAAATACAGCTACTCATGTGGCCACAAATGAGGCTAAGCTGGAGATTCTGCAAAAATCCAGTTTTCCTAGGAGAAGCAAAATGTGTACTTGTAAGCCTTAGCTTTTAATCATACGAGTATTTCCCACTCTCATCCTGCATAATGGATGACATTGTGCAAATCTGACATATTTCTAGGTTCATTGAGCAGGTGCAGAATGTGATAGCTGACATGTCTTGGAATTAATAACCCCAGCACTCTACACAGTGTTCAGTTTGTTTTTATAAAAGCAAGCTTTCTGCCTTGTACATTGAGAGAAATGTAGGCTGCAGTCCTAAGTGTGTTTAGACAGGAAAAAGGTCTACGGATTCGGGCATGGCCCAACCAGCTATGCTGACTGCAGCATGTAGAACAGGGGTCCTCAAACTTTTTCGGTAGGGGGCCAGTTGAAAGGCCACAGCTACATGCACAGGCCGGTGAGGTGGGGGTGCCTGGGAGCACAGGCCAGTGAGGTGCCGTCGGGCGCGCGCGAGGCAGCGTCGGGCACGCACGGCTGTGGTTTGCTTACTCAGAGACCATCTCTGATCTAGCGAGCCTCCACCTCCCCCCCTCCCCACACTGTGAGGCAGTGACGAGCGTGCGCCTATGGGAGGGAGGCGGCAGTGGCGGCGGCTTGCCTGCTAGGAGACCATCTCCGATCGAGTGAGCCACCACCTCCCCACCCGCGCAGCAAGCGCGTGCGCGGGCGGCGAACAGCGGTGCGGGCCAGATGGATGGCCATGGCAGGCCGGATCCGTCCCACGGGCCGTAGTTTGAGGACCTATGATGTAGAAGTTTAGAGACCCTTTCTTGGACTTAAACATGCATAGTATTGTGTCTTTAAAAGGTTTAAACTGTGACTGTGATAATTCAGAAACTAGATAGTAGGTTTCAGCCAATGTCAAGAGGCCACAGTCATCATACCTTTCACCTCTTACCTTTTGTTCTCGTTTGAAATTCCAAATCTTAGCAGCATAAAAAGTTACATAAGCTACATAACTGGGCTAGGTGTAATCGCCATGGAGAGGCCACCAAAGGCAGACTTGTGGCAGTGAGTGATCCTGGCCCATGATGTCTAAAAGCTTGGAGACAGAACACTGCGTCCTGAGCTATCACTGTTGGTGGAAGATTGCCATGAGTGATGCAACCCCCAGAATTCCTAGCCAATGGCCCTGCTGAATGGGAATTCTGGGAATTGCAGTCCGAATGCCTCTGAAGGCTACCAGGCTGGGGAAGGCTGCCTTAAGGCAAGCACGCACAACTTATGACCTTAAAGCTAGAGACATCCCACCTGCCATGTATGGTGGACCTCCAGGGCTGAACAAACCTGTTTTAGCTGATCACCAGAGACCAGGCAGCTCACAGTGCATGCAGAATGATTTCCTTTCATTCTGGGGCTGGACTAAAGGTGTCTTTTAGGAAGGGCATGCCTAGAAGATAACTTGGGAAACCATGTGAATATAATTTTAGATCCTGGTCTACAATTTGCTACAAGCCGGTGGAGGGGCTCTGATTAGGGATGATTAGGCATGTCATGAGCGGAGCCGGCTGGTGCCGGAGGTCAGACTAGAGGGCCCAGGAAGCCCCTTCTGACTCGCTCGGTTTCTATGTTTCTATGATGGAGAAACTAATGTGGCTTGCATTTTAATATGGACTGATCTGATTTGCACTTCCTGGACTAAAACACAACATGATATGCAATTATCCTTTCATTTACACACTTCTTCCAGTTTTACCTTTGCTATTCTTTCGCTAAAAAAAAAAAGGTGTACAAAAATGAGAATGAAAATATATTCAAATGCTTGTGCAGATTTTTTAAAAGAATCCTTTAAGGAACTGATTGGAAATGGAATAGAATGGACTTGTGCTTGGAAAAAAATTGAAACAGAAAGTGAACCAGACAACTTTATCCCAGCTCTGGCACAGAGCGAACGAGCGAGCGAGCGAGAGTTCCCCTCGTTTACACAGTCTTCCCCATTTTCTTCATTTCAACTGTTTGCAAATGTATAGCTGTTCCTTCCATTTGGGGAACTGCATGTGAGGACACCAACACATACATGGAACTTCCCTTTCCCCAAGAAGCCAGTGCTAACGATAGTCAAATAAAGTGCAAAAAGGCCTATATAGAACAAAGACCTACAATTCCCAGCATGCCCAGCCAGAAAGCCTCACCTTATCCTTAAGAAGCCATGACCTTAGGGAGTGATCCAATGACTCTGTGGCATGTGTTGGGAGTTGTCAGTCTGTTCCCCCCCCCCACCTGAACAGGTATCAGCTGATGCCTTTAATCACTTCCAGGTTAGATTATTGTACTGCCCAAAGCCAAGCATGTTCTTTATAGGAAAACCTTCTCCAGGTTCCCACACCATCTGAACTGAGAGAGGTTCAGTTTTAGGCAGCTGAGCCCGCTGAAGAAATTCCAGCTGATTCCAGCCCAGGTGGAGTCCTGCTAGGCAATCCAAAAGCATGTCCAAGCCAGTTCAAGGGTGGTGACCAGGTGAGATTTCTTGGCCATGGTAGCTTTTCTATGGAACCCTGTTCTGTGGGGAAATTGTCGAGTTCCCAACTTTAAATGTGTGTTTTTTTAATATTACATTTTAACCTGTCATTTTTTTCCTCATACAAGGAACTCCAAGCTGCTCACATGGTCCTCCTCCTCTCCATTTGATTTTATGAACAGCCTGGTGAGATAGGTTAGGCTGAGGGTGAGTGACTGGCCCAAAGACATCCAGTGAGCTTCATGGCCTGAGTGGGGACTGGCCTACATCTCCCAAGTCCCCGAGTCCAACCCCCTAACCAGCCCTCAGACTGGATTTGCTGTTTGTTTCCAACATTGCCATCACTGTACCAGGATCCTGAGGATGAAGGGAGGTTTATACACTTATACATTATTAAATAAATGTTATTCTGGCATCAAGCAAAGCCATTCATACTTGCTTAGGCATTCCAGCTAGTGTTACAAGCTGTTTTTCACTATGTTTATAGTTGCAATTTATGTCACTGCAGCTTCTGCTACCACTGTGCTTTTTAACACTGAGTTTGATATATTTGTTGCTTTTTATCCTTTTAATATGCATCATTCCCTGTGTTGTAATAAAGAGTCACCTAAAAATTTACAGAATGAATAATGCACTCTATGGGGCTGCATTTAAGACAGTTCAGAAAGTTTAGTTGATCCAGAATGCTCTTGCCAACGTGCCAATTAAAGCTGGCAGATGGGATGTATAATTCTGATGTTAGTGCATCTGTTAGGGCTGGGCTCAACTTTGTTTCACTTCAAGGATTTAGTCGAGTACATTGGTCAATCCCACAAAGCAGAAAGAAGAGAGAGGGCAAATGATTTGGGAGGAATTTAACCATTCAAGGGTCGATTCTAACTTCTTCCTACCTTTTTTCCAATGTTTAACTTTCTTTCATTTCAGTACATTCTTTCATTTCATTACAGTCTTAGTTTAGTTTATTTTGTGTTTTTATTGGAAGCAATGCAAGTCTGCCATGGCCATTATTCTTCCTTTTCCCTGCTCACTGTTAAGGCTCTAAACAGCTAATGACCAGAGTATCTTAAGAAACCCATATAGTTATACATCCATAAACTCTGAGATCATTTACCAAGCTGTTGTGAGCTGGTCTCTGTGCCTTCTCCCTGCACCTTTGTCCTT